TATGCTTTGACTATTGCAAGACCCTGGCTTCTTGGAACCTTCCTCAGATGACTATCAGTCACAATTTTGAGGAAAAGAAAATCCTGGAGTGTATAGTGTGATCGCTTCATCTTTAATACTCTTCTGCTAATCCTTAAGGCCATTTGGACATACAACAAGCATGATTTAAACTGAAACCTTATTTCTTCTCTTGGGGCTGGGAACAGGCAATGTAGTTTTTCTGAATAAAATGCAATAATTAAAAATTAAAATGTTTATTATGTTAATTTTATATCTGAATAAAAGCAAATTACATGCATCTGCCCAGTTCCACACATGGGAGATGAACTTCTGCTTTCACATCGATATAACACAATTTTATTCAGCACCTAACAAATCACTGAACGTATGTATTACTTTTCCAATACTCTTAAAACCTGGCGATTTGGTCTTATACCTAAGTTGACACCATCAAACCCTCTGATGTATGAATATTAATTTGGTTGGACTAGTTCATATGTTGCCCTGGTTTCTTGCATTTCCACACCATAGGGACCCAGACTACCTTGAGAACTGGAAATAGCTTAATGCTAATTCCAGCTCCTTCCCTGGTGAGGGTCTCAGCATCAAGGAGTTAGTTGTACCACACTCCCCAAGACAACATGTTCTGCCTGGCTTTGATTTTGTAGAGTTCGAGAGTTTGGACAAATGTAGCCCTCTGGAACATAAACACATTCATGACTGGCAGGAGAAGCCATGAATTCTTGCCTCAGGCCTATCTCAGCAGAGCAGTGCTTGGAAGGGTTGAGAGCTTCTTGGCTACAAGGCAAAACTTCTAAGATGTTCCCTGCTATTTGGAGGGAGGTATAGTACAACAGGTTATTAGACTTTTACTGGCCAAACCCCCAATTTCCATTCTGCTTCCAAGAACCAGTTCCTTTATCAGGAATTTCTTAGCAGGTCACATTTCTGTGGATTAGAGAAGGCAGAAGGGAGAATACATGGGTTGGACCACAGAGATCACGAGCTCTGGGGCTAAAGGTGGCTGAGGAGGCTCGACATTGTTTCAGGAAAATGGACCCGTCCCTACATAAATAACTTTGTTCATGTCTCAGACTGGTGCGTGGGGGTGGGGGGGGGGCCTTTCATTTTTTGTGTGTGTATGGCAAAAAAATGTATTTGTGTATTTCATTCATTTTCTGATGAGGTACACCTTTATTGAATCAGCTGCTTTGTATCAGGATTTGGACTTGCTACCGAATGTCAGACTTAGAAGACACATTTCTTGCCTTCGGAAGAATACAAGGCATGTTGGCAAGTACTTTAATGATTGCAACAAAGGAGGCCCACACAAAGCATTACGGGATTACAAAGGCCTGAAGGGGCTCTGCCCTAGAGGAGCCGCAAACGAAGGGCTTCTTTGAGGAGGTGATATTTCTTAAGTTTTAAAGACAAGTATTATAAACTTATACTTTATATATATGGGGACGAAAGGGCAAAGGAGGGAGGTATTTTAGGCAATGTTATATGATTGAAAGGCGCTGATGCCAAGAAGGTAGATGTGCTCCCTAAATAGCGAATTCTTCTTGGGAAGGTATGAACATCGGAATGTTCTGTGAAGATGGGCAGAAAGGTGTTAGCTGGTGGGAGAAGGAACTAAGAATGGGAAAACGCAGGCAGGGCCAGAAGTCAGAAGGCACGCTACCAGATGGAACAGGGCTGGCTGGCCCACCCAGTGGGGTGCTGACAGTCTTAAAAGGATTCTCGGCTCCATTGTAAGATTAGCTATAAGGCTGCCACAGGCAACGCTTTCAGTCTTTAGAGAAACCTGCGGTTTTCTAAGAAAACCATCTAACTATTGTATCCTTAAATTATTTCATGTTAATTAGCTAAGAGAAAATAAAATCTCCGTGTATTCGCACTTTGGCTCTCCTCTGTGGTCCAGCTGGTGGTTTTAGAAAAATATAGGCTACAGGCATCCACCCGGGAGAGGCCACTTCCTTTTCCAGAAGTGATTTCACAGGGGGATGCTGGATCAGCAGATATGACTACAACACACAGTCCAAAATGGTCATAAACTTCTCTCAAAGTTTAGAGCACCTCCCAATGAAACTTGGTAAAAGCAAACACTAGAAAACAGAATTTGTCTAGGTATCTGAGTCACTGAAAAGGCTGCTTGGAATGACTCAAAAATCCTCTTGCTCTGACTGCAGAAATACACTATTTTAAAAACCAGGTTTTTTTTGTTTTTTTTTAAAGAAAAAAAGAAGAAAAAGAAAATTAAATAAAACCCGGGTTTATATAGTTCTTGTCAGACACTCAGAGGAGCTCTTGAATGCAGCAGTACTTCCTCAGGACTGATTTATAAGTTTTCATTTATTTATTTACTTGTTTACTTATAAGTTTGTAAGATTCAGATTTTATTTCCAATTATTCTGCTAAAACTAAAGAATACATTAATTCTGGTTTTTCAGAGGAGTCTTCAACTTACCGAGGAAGATGCATCTTAAAAGTGTTGTAAATATTACTTTACCAACCATTGAGAGAAACGTAGTTCATGCTAAATGATACCAATAGCTCCCTCCACCAGCCCTTATGAGGTGCATGTTTGATACCTCTCTCAGCTTCATGGAATAAACACAAAGTGTCAAGCTTAATAACAAACATTTGAAACCTACTTTAATATATATGTATATTAAAGTAGTATACTTTAGTAGTATATATAAAGTAGTATACTTTAGTAGTATATATTTATATATAGAGAGAGATATAGATAAAAATTATCTATAGATGATATCTATATCTATATCTACATCTATATTTATATATAAAACCAAATAGGGCACAGTTTAGTGATATCAGTGGTGGAAAAAAATTCTGATTATTAAAGACTTCATATTTAAGTCATGGGCTCTCTCTCGTAGTCAAGAATTAGTAACTAGTTCTCTTCTTAAAAATCCCTTTGGGGAGCCTGGCTGGCCCAGTTGGAAGAGCATGCAGACTCTTGATCTTAGGGCTGTTGAGTTCAAGCCCCACGCTTGGTGTAGAGATTAAATAAACAAACTAAAAAAAAAAAAAATCCCTTATTAGGCAATTAATTACTCAGTACACTTGCTATGCATTTTCAGAATATAAATCAATAAACAGGGCTATGCTTCTAATGATGGTATCTATACATTATAGCAAAGTATAACTTCAGTGTTTTGATGATGTAGAATAGCTGAATGTATTTCTGCTACTTGGTTGTTTTTCAGAAAAGGCTTATAGACCTGTTAGGAGAGTAGCTGCAACATTTTCACTGTTGTAACAGACTTATTTTAGTGCCAGAAAATAGACACTCATTTTGGGAAAATGTCTTCCTCCTAAATTATCATTAATAATACTTATGCAAAAATAAAAGTTCCCAGGCCATCGGTTCACAGGAATTTTTTTCCTAAATAAATTGGTCTACCTTACTTATTACATATTTTGCTTATCATTGTCAACTAGTCATTACCTATATACATACGGTATATATTTACATATGGATGCCTGGGCACACGTGTATATACACTGTTTTGGAAGATGACTGAAGACATTTATTTATTTAAATATTTATGTAGTTTGAGAGAAAGAAAGAGAGAGAGAGATGAAGCAGGCAGGGGGAGAGGCATAGGTTGAGGGATAGAATCTGGAGCAGAGTCCCAGCTAAGCAGAGAGACCCACAGGTGACTCGATCCCATGACCCTGAGGATCATGACCTGAGCTGAAGTCAAGAGTCGGACACTTAACAGGCTGAGCCACCCAGGTGCCCTGACCTTTTTTTTTTTTTAAATTTAAAATGAACATAACACTCATAGAAAATTGGATAAAACCCAATAAAATCTTATTTTAAAACAAATGTTTATCAAATCTTTATTTCTGAACACTTTACAAATTCTTCCGCACTTTGAAAATCTACAGTGATCATTGAGTTACACACCAAACACCAGAATTGAGGCAAGGTAGGCTGCCTGCCTCTTTGAGCTACACTTCAATTGCCCTGCCTAGACACATTAACTCATTGGCCACCTTCTTCTTCTTTTTCTTTTTGAGTAGGGTAAAGTATCCTTGAAGACTTGCTACTTTCGTGACCAGAGAGTTTTATATTTATGGAAAACCTAAAAACCAGAGAAAGCCCACAAAATAACAGTCATTTGAAACCAAAGACAATGCATTTTTTTCTCATTTATTCAAATTCACTGCAGGAAGTAAACACTAAAAGATTAAAAAACAAAACAAAAAAATTCACACTGCAGTATGTACAGTTCCATGACATCACATGAAGAAATTAAATTTCTAATAAAAATGACAAATTATATTACTAAGCAGATCGCATCAAAATTGGTTGTGTAAACCCCAGAATTCATCTCATGAGTGGTAATGTGCCTGTATTCCAGCATACTGGGATACTCCTGGTATAACAGTACATTTCCAATGGGATTAAAAAATTCATGAAAGTAGTTGTGTGAACTTGTCATGTTGAAAAGTGGTTGATTTGATTTTAAAAAGTTTTAAGACCCTTGGATTCAAAGCACATTCTTCCACAAAGCTTAAACCACAGAAGTCATATCCAAAAATGGAATACTGTCATGTTGGGATGAACATCTGATCTGACTTGTTAAGACATTTTGCCAAATGCACAGATGCACAGGGTCCCCCATGCATTTTTCATGCAGCAGGTAATCACAACTTAAATAAAAGGTTTATTCTATACATTTGTCCAGACTTGCAACTGTATACATACATGCACAAATTTTAAACCTGTCTGATTATATTTACACTTATACATGGAATATACAGAAACCAAAGAGATTAAAAGGCTTTTCTGTTGCATTAGAACAATACAAAATATGTATTTTTCATTAAGGAAATCACTATTTACATCACCTTTAAAAACTGATTTTAACATCTTCGTGTAACAAGTCAATATATATATATATACATATTATATATATATATATATATATATATATATATAAAATATATACTCTCACCAGTTTACTCTTCTGTAACATGTACCAGAGAATAAACGGGTAATGCTACCTTACTGTTGTCAATGAGAGCTGTAGTACCCTTTCACAAATGACTTCATTGGGAAGAAATTCTCTAGTATCTAAAATAGTCCTTGAAAATGTGTATATGTGCATCCTTGTATCTACATATGCATAAACAAAGTGAATTTATGGATGTGTGCCCTTTCTCACTGTTCTTCTTTAAGATCACCCTAAATTCAAATTGGGGACATTCTCTAGTAAACCAGAACATCATTTTTCTGGTCATGTTTAGCTACGTATTATATATCCTCATTCCTTTAACTGTGAACGACGAGAACAACAACAAAAACAACCAACCAACCAAAGGAACAAACAAAAATATAGCAATGCTGGCCCTCAATGTTCATTCCCCTGACCTAAATTTCCCTCCCTTGTGAAAGCCCATTTTCCCTCGACCAAAGGGGAATACCAACAATTTTTCTAGCATACCTCTAAGGCTCCAGATCTTTCATAATGTAGCAGGAAAAAAAAATGACTTGCTTAAAAGCTTATTTATATGATATAGACAATAAGATTGTCACAAAGTCGATATGGGATGGAGTAGAATATATTCACTGGCCAGTGGGATTTTCACTTCAGAATAAGTGTATGCCTTCATCTCTCCAAGATGTAGCGTAATACTCACTCCTGACTATTGTTTTATAATATAATCCAGTAACTATTTACAAATCATTTTGAGAAAAAATAATCATTTAGGGTTTTAATTCATATTAGGAAATAACGCCCATTTTTAATATAAAAATCTTAGAAACAACTTCAAGTAGAACAACTTCAAATAGATTTCCTTCTAATTAATAGTTGATTATATAACAATTTGTTGATAGGTCAGTTGCAAACCTGGTTCACTTTTAAAAACAAAAATATTATCTGGTGAGTGAATTGTGGACCATGAAAGCTGAACTTAAACATATGGACGTGTTTCAAGATCAAAACCCCATGTGGCTCAATAATAAGTTCTTCCAAGATAATAGCAATGTTTACTTCTAATTGCAATTTTAAAATAAGAGGTCCAATGGAGTGATCGTGTACAACTCTGTCATGTCTATGGGCCCTTTGTACTTCTCTGTCTAGTCAGTCTGAGTTTAGTGCCTTCCTTGGGTTTGAAATGTTTTCATCTTTGTCAGCAGTGATCTTAGGACAATGATTTTAATAGAAACTAAGGATGTATTCAGGAGAAGTTTCCAAACCATCCTGGAATCACCTGAGTTTGGTAAGTGGCCCTGTTATACCATCCCTAAGGCTAATTAAGTAGATGTTACTCATTAGAACACATAAATAATCACAGATTTTCCTGAGATGTTGAGCCAGATATGAAAGTTGTCCCTTCCACCCAATTTTTTTTTTTTTGTCATAAAAAGTATTTCGAACCCGATTTTCCAAAGACAGAACGGTTATATATGAACTACAATATTGCAAATTTTGAGTTGATGTACAACTGTACTGGGGAAAATATAGGCATCAAATAGTTGTTGTTTTTTTTTCTTTTTTTCTTTTTTTTTTTTTTTTTTTACAATCCTGTGTTCTGAGAAAAGTCATAAGCAATGGTTCTCAAACTTCAGCATGCAGAAGAAACATCTAGGGAGTGTGTTAAGATGCAGGTGGGAGATTCCCGGGTCCACTTAGCAGAGCTTCTTGATCTATAGATCTGAGATGCTGCCTAGGAATCTGCATTTTAAAACAAGGGCTCCAGATGATTCTAATGCAAGTGGTCTGAGTCCAGCTTTTAAGAAACCCTGGTCGTAAGACTCACAGGTACCACAGAAATGGTGAGAAGTAACTTTTACAAGAGATGGTGAAAACTGTCCAAAGAAAAGCCATTTTGCTTCTGTTAAAAACAACTTCTTAAATATTCACCTATTCAGGAAACCACCTGAAGGTAAATGGTTAACTTTCCTAATTCTGTAAAAGGAGGAATATTAATTTAGTAAAGTAGCTAAAATACAAAAATGGAAATCTGCCTTTTTTGAAGGATCTATCAAAGTCCCATCAATTGTAATCAATTTTTACTAAGTAGTACAAGGTTTAAAGAAATAGATATTGAAAAGGACTGGGGTGGGGCAGACACATTGGGAACCACAAAACCCCTTCCAAGAGTTAAAAATAAATATGTTTTTTAGCAAAAGTGAAAAATGTAAGCATATTTTTTTTTCTAATTTGTTTCTGAATCAGATAATGAAAAGTGAATTAGGTTTTTTTTTACTCAATAATTAACATTTCAAGAGTTATTTAACAATTTGGATTTAAAAACAAATGTGTTATGCAGGCTGACTTCTGAAAAGCAAAATAAAGTACCCTAATAAAGGCAGCAAAATGCGTTAATCCACTATGGATGGAGATTTACATTTTCATTTATGCCTGTTATCTGAATATAAAAGAATTTCATTCATAGGCTACTCACAGTTGTTGTCTGATGCATACAGAGTGTTAAACAACCAATTGCTAGTTCAGTAGTTTCCTCATGACATCTAACGTAAAGCAAAAAGCAGTATGCATATTTAAACATCACCAGTAACCAATACTTTTCAAAATGAAAAAAGTTTCAATTATACCATGCTTTTCTCAAATCATGCTCTTATTTATACAGATCGCAAGTTCATACTAAGCAGTTTTAAAAAGATCCAAAGCTGGATGGCAGGTACGTTTTATTCTGATTCTTTTTTTATTGTTAGCACGTTTCCCAACAGTCCGTAAACTTCTCCGTTGGCGCTGTGTGGACGAGAGGCGTTACTCCCCATATGGCTATTATATGGGCTTCTTAGATTAAAGAAAGAAGCTTTAGTTTCTGCGGTGGGAAGTAACTCTTCTTTGACTGTAACCTGTGAGACACTTTCGGCAGGTGCAGGCTCCCTCCAAATGTCCTTGTCCTGCGTTTCTCGACTGGTAACAGCACTGCCTCCCTTCTGAAGCATGTAATACAGTATCGGGTTAGTTTTGGTCAGCCTGGGACAGTCTTTCTCATACTCATTCTTATCCGCATCTGTGATAACCCACTTAATGGGTCCCTTCTCACCGGTCACGGAACACCCGTTCAAAAGCCCAGATTCTGGTCTAGACCCTGCACAGCCCAAGTGCTCGGGGAAAGGGGGACTCATGGGAGATTTCACTACTCCTGGGTACGGAAATGTCCTGCTATCCATGCAGCCGCCGGGCTGAGGGGAACCGTACATCAGTCCGTTCAGAGAAGAAATGCTGAATTCAGGTTTGCTATTGGTCATGTTATTTTTGTGTCCTTTCTTTTTACTCTCGACGACAGAGTTACTCCTGTGCTGGGACAAATCTCTTACACAGTTTTCTGAGAGAAGCAGCTGCTTCAGGACATTGAAGCTTTTGCTCTCCCTGGCCCAACTCCTATGTTCACTTTCGGGGGCTGCACCATGACTGGCAGGGTACTTAAGTTCAAGATCATTTTTGCTCAATTTCAGCTCCTGCTGGTTAAGCAAGGACCCATACAGTCCTTCCGTGGCACTGTGACTATTTGCCGCGTCGACGATGTTATTTTTCATCTTCTTAAATGGGTTTTCTAAAGGCTCAGTATGGAGCTTCCTTTTCTTAGGGACCATGCAAAGGTTCTTTGATTCTAGAATTGTCAGTTCACTGTTTCTGTGACTGTTGTCCAGATCTTCCGCCAGGTAACTCTCTTGATTTTGTCTTAGCAGTCGACTCAACAGACCGTTCTTTGAGAAAGAAAAATCCTGAGGTGAAACGGACTCCGATTTAAAGTCCTCGGACATGGGTAAGGCAGCTGCGCTTCTCTGCACGGGAGGCGCCAGACCCAAGAATGGGGCCCCCTTGGCGTCATGGGTCAAGTGCACATTTGAGTTGTGAGTATGTAAGTCATCGCAAGGCTCAGGTTTGATTTTGACCATCAGTATTTGTTCACTTAAAGCTCTATCTGTGGGTTCCTGAGTACTTTCGTCTCTCACAGAAATCTTCTCTTTCTTTTCACTCTTCCCTTTGTTGGGGTTTCCCAGGAGCAGCTGGAGAACAGTGCGCCTTTCAAGCAGATTTTCTATTTCAGAACCAGAAAGTCCTGATTCGGGACCTGCTGCTTGGCTGCTCAAGGCCTTGTTTTCCTCCACCATGTTTGTTTTATTTGCCAGCAGAGGACTGTTTAATCTGTCAACCATGCCCACGGGTCTATCTGTGTTTACACTTAGCAGCTGCCTGCTGGGTCTCTGCTCTTCTCCTGAGGTGGACTGCATTCCACACTGAGCTAAGTTCTGTAACAGTTTACTGGCACTGAAAGTTGCGGAGTTTTGCGCGCCTTCATTCTGGACGGGTTTCTCTCCGTGCGACTCTTTGCTCTTTGTCAGGTCCATCAAGTGGCTGGATGCGGCACTGGCTGGCTTTTCAGACTGAGAGCCGCAGGTGTATGGCGGGGAATTCCATTTGATGACCAGAGAGTGTTGGGAGAGATTGATGGGAGACTCTGGTTTCATGGAGCCGAGTAATGGAGGAGTGCTCACGGGGGTAGTCCTGTTTGCACTGGGGCTTTCGATGACCGAAGTCCTCGTGTAATTCTGAGTACTGAACTTGGGCACATCGCTGGGGACTTCCTGAGGACTGCTGTTTCTTTCTACGTTTTCTTCATTCTTATGGCCAAGGAGCAACTGAAGAAGTGTTACTTTCTGGTGTGAATTTAGCTTGGAATTCCTTGAGGTATCTTGATCTTCTTTGATATCTACGGTGGTGGGGACTTTGGGATCCCAGGTATTTAGCAAGGACTGAGTTAAATTATCGAGAGAAACAGGCTGGTCAGGTTCCGGTTTCTCAATTCGATGTTTGCATGACAAGTCTATGGGCACACAGTTGGAGTAAGAGCTTTCGTCGCCACTGCTGTCATCTGTGAAACTAGGGTTGTTGTCGGAGTACTCATCGACAGTCGTGGGCGTACTACTATCCTCGAAAATGCTTCCTCTCTCACTATGGTGATGTCCGTTCATTGGCTTTGGTATGGTCTGGCTTTTAAGAAGATGTAATAGCAAACTGTTACTAGCAGCTTGTTTGATATTGTTTCTTTCCAGTGAGTTCTTATAGCCTGCATTCTTGGGGGAAGAAGGAACGACACCCATTGGATTTTGGAATGCCGTATTTTTGCTCGCCATTAGCTTGCTCGACGATGTTCTTGCCTGACCATTGAGATGGCTCGACATTCCTTTCGAGAGCTGGAAACCGCCAACATCCTTCTGGCCGTTTTCTTGTAATCTGGCCATGGCAGCAAGTCTTTCACTTGCTGCTTGATTCGCATTTTGTGTTTTTAAAGCATGTTCCCGAGAATACTGCTGCAAATGGGCTTCACTTGAGAGGAGTAATGCTAACTGGCTACAAGCAACACTAGGTTTGGGTGAAGTGGCCGGACTAGCCCTTTTTTCCACCATGCTTGCGACAGCCTGTAATCGGGCAGCACATGACAACGGTTCACTCATGACCTTTGTCCCGCTTTGTCCAACATGATGCGGCGACTCCACAAACCTGTCTCTGATGAGGTTTTTAGTTACATCGGGAAGATTGGTATCAGGCTTTTGATCTTTAGCTTTACTTTTCTTCAACAAAGTTTTTAAGTGACTTGACGCAACACCGTAGCACCTTAAATCTTTCTCCACTTTTAAAGAATCATGACCGAGTGCGTATCCTTGCTCCTTGAGGCTCTGCCTAATTTGTTGCGACAGAGCAACGGTCTGCAGCCTAGAGCTGAATGACTGAAGCAAAGAGGCCAGTAATGTGCTATCTTGTTTGCCTTTAGGCACATTGTCAACCATGCCAGCTAGCAAAGCTTCCTTCTTCACGTTTAAATTTACGATGGAATCAGACAGCCTCTTCCGCTTCGCGGCATTCCAGTCCTCCGAAGACTGCAAGAGTCTGGCTTTTTTGAGATGCAGCATGCCAGATCCCTGATAGGACTGTGCATTGAGAACTGGACCATTACTTTGACAGGTGGGAAATGCATTACCAGAAATGTTAAAGTTCTGATCCTCTTCATTATGCCCAGCAGACTTTTTGTCAACGGCAGTACCTGATCCCTCTGCTGCCTGATGCATTAGTAATCCTTCTAGGTAAGTTAAAACAATAGAATCCTGGTGCACATCAGAGCCAAGCTCTTCTCCATGAGTCATGTTCAATAGAAGTGTTCACAAGAGCTTGGTTTCTATTCACGTTAAAGAATGGTTTTCCGGGGGTGAGTGAGATGTAACTTTAATAAGTGACTGCCAGTTTATCACCTTCCATAGTAATCAGGCAGAGATGCCCTGTGACATTCCAACCAGGATTTCCTCTAGCAACGACAAGGTGAAAGATAGGCAAATTCCAAAGGAGCCTGACCACAGGGCTGATCAACTCCTAAGCAAGAAGGAGCAGAAGAATTCCTCAGTACATAGGTCTGCAGCAGCAAGCACAGAGAATCCTCAGCGAATATACTGCTTCTCCTTCTTCATCTTTTGTGTCCAATTAAATGCAAATAGCAGTGTTCTAGGAAAAGAAAAAAAATAAATAAAAAAGTTAAGAAGGGACAGAACTCATGTTATGCTATCGATAAGCAAAAGAATCTAGCATTTATAAGTGTCTACATATGTGTGTGTAAAACATACTTACATACGTAAAACATAATGTACATACACATATATGCATTGTAGACAGTTCTCTGGTAACATATTTTGCCATTCCTATTAAACTGCAAATTGCCACTGGAAATCCTATGAATCAATCCACATTGCAAATCAATTAGAGAAAATACTTTGGCATTATGTAACCGTCTTCCAAAGCACACCAAGTTTCTGAATTTTCATAAGCACTTTGCACAGAGTAATATGAATGCTAAGTCTCTTTTATAGTGATGTAGCTCTATAAGGGAGCTAGAATTAGCCTTCTTATTTTACTGGGAGCTTATGAAGGAACAAAAGCAGAGGTGAAGAAAAGAAAAGAGATCATGTGACATGGACTCATCTGATGAGCTGGGTGTAGGGTTGAGTACTACTTCTGATAGCATCCTTGAAACATTGCAAATTCCGTTAAGTAATCTGTAGGATTTCTGTTTTCTATGAAATGGAAGACTGACAAGTATAAGTATCTTACAGGCCTATGCAAAGTGTGACAGTCTTAGTCATATTCATAAACACTGAAGCATAATCAAAGCTTCGTTTTTACCATGACCTATTAAAAACAGAAGAGAGTGATTCTCTACATGCTCATCAAGTCTATCAGAGGTTTAATGTATCCGATTTAAATCTTCACTCATTGCTCTATGTAAAAATTTTAATGTGAGGTCCATTCCTAGCAGATGAAGAAGACAGGTTATGGATGAACCTGTAATTCTAAATTTCTAGAATGTTCCTCATAGAAAATAACTCTTTTCCTCACCAATGCTATTTCTTTTTGTGTGACTTCATTATCAGTACAAATAAAGTATAAATAAACTATTATACATGATTTGAAAAAAATTTATAAGATTTTTTAAAATAAAAATCATTAATCTAGAAAAATGTGTCAAGGCACTTGTACCAATTTTTAGTTGAGAAAATGTGGTTACCATAATATGTATAAACATTACCATGTGTATACAAGAGGCAATCACAGCACCCTGTAGAAAGTGGGTAGGAAACAAATTTAGAATAGACTTGAAGGGAAGATGAATAATTGCTTCCAGAAAATTCTAAGTCAATGTGGTTATTTTTCATTAATTTTTTGGGAAAGAAAACATATAAACAGCACCATTATAAAACAGGGAGGAAAGACCTTTTTTTAGTAGGAAGCCTGTTTTTTAATACGATGAATCTGTAAATCAAAGGCTATATTTCCTGAATGCTGCTTCAAGAGGCACTCAGTGGCAATACCTACCATCGTGCTAGCAAAAAATGAAATGCCGAAGAAAGTAGGAATTCTGAGACTACTTAAGGCTTGAATTCACTCAGATCCTACTATTAAAAACTCTTCAGGGAATTGAGTGAGCCAAATTTTTTCTGATAATTTCCTTTTCTTTCCTTTAAATAATTGAAGCAGGAGAAATCATTAACAATCCTTCCTAGCTTTCCCAAATCTTGCCTTTTCATATTTCCATTATAAAGAATACAACTTAATTGACAAATTTAGAAAAGAAACAAGAGGAGGCAAGGTGACTGAATATGGTACAGCTCCCAGACTACAGATATTAGGATATAATGTAAAGTATTACCACCGCCTAATAAATAAACTTCTTAAAGTTAAAATCATGTAGTTAGTATTATAGCCTGACTCATTTTCTTTTAGCAAAAAGACAACCACATTTTTAAAATTTTTTTTTTTTTAATTTATTTGAGATAGCACAAGCAGGGGGAGAAGCAGAGGAAGAGGGAGAAGCAGGCTCCCCACTGAGCAAGAAGCCTGATGCTGGAGTCGATCCCAGGACCCTGAGATCATAACCTGAACCAAACGCAGACACTTAACCGACTGAGCCACCCAGGCGCCCCATCACATTATTCTTGAATCTTTGACATAGAGTTTGTTTGATTTTTTATTTTATATACAGGTTACTTAAGAACGCTGCCAGATGCTTAACACATATATTCAGTTAAAAATAACTAAATGTCAACACACTATTAAGAATTAGGCTTCTTGAGAGATTGGTAAGCAATATATTTTAAAACCGGAATATTTCACAAAATACTGTGATTCAATGGCCTGTCAGTGGATCTACTTGCACGTCCATAATTTTGACAATGATTTATTAGAGCCTGTGTCTATTTAAAGATACTCAACGGGGGCGCCTGGGTGGCTCAGTGGGTTAAAGCCTCTGCCTTCAGCTCAGGTCATGAGGATCGAGCCCCACATCAGGCTCTCTGCTCCGCAGGGAGCCTGCTTCCCCCTCTCTCTCTGCCTGCCTCTCTACCTACTTGTGATCTCTGTCTGTCAAATAAATAAATAAAATCTTAAAAAAAAAAAGATACTCAATGGTCTTTTCACAAATACAATAAAGAAGAGACTTTACTTATATAGCATACACTTGCTAAGTGGTTTTGCAAAGGGAACAAAATTTTTCACAACATTTAGATTATGGGAGGTAAAAGAAAACCAAGAGCTTTGTAAAAGTAAGGAGGGGGCAGGAAAAAAAAAAGTAGAAAAAAGTAACAAATGAACAAATGAAGGCCTCACAAGTTTTGTAACTCTCGTGAGATTCTGTAAAGAAAATTTTAGTTTAGAAACTAAAATATGTTATATTAGTATACTATCTTTAAACATTAGGTTGGTAGATATGACAGGCAAAGCCAAGAAAGATTTAATGAACCCTAAAAATGCACATATATGAAGGAGAAAAAAATTAAACTTACCCAGTGATAGAGTAAAAGCTGATTGAATTGAAACCTAGTTGTCATTTTTATAATGTGGTGCCACAGAACTTTTAGAAAAACTGATTTTTAAAAAGTTCAGTGTAATCTTCTATAATACATCAAGAGGTGACTTAATCTTCATTTTATCATTCTAAATCAAAATCAGCTCTTTGTAATTTTAATGGATTTGTTTAACCTTCAGTATACCAAGAAAAACAGGCATCACCATTACCATCTAAATGCAACAAACATTTTATTAATAATTAAGTCAATTTATGAATAGTTAACAAAGTAAGAATGAAGGAATAATATAAAAAAAATCAGAATTTTAAGTAAGAATTTACACATTCTTAATTCCGTATCTTCCTGGTTTTGAAAGATAATGGTAACTGACAGCTCATCAACTCTCATGCAAGAACCTGGAAACATCCTTTAAGTACCAATTCCAGATTGGTACATGTCTAAGGGGTAAGCTTTATCATCACCTCTGAGTCTTCTTTTTGTACTTGTATAATTCAAAATGTGTTACTGTAGAGAACTCTGAAAGCTCATAATGACGCTGACGAGAGGACAGAAATCTTCCTTGTTTCATAATTGCAAAATATGTATTTTTTATTTTTAGACTTACTAACACCAATTATAATGACCAACCTAATGGATTATTTCATATCCATGTCATCTATTTTCTTCCGATCTCTTTTATTACAAACCAGCCTTCAATATTTGTCCACTTAATGATCATTTCAAATAAATTTGGACGTACCAACATCATAAAAGAAGAATACTGTCATACTTCCTTTGAGCAAAACAGAACAGTTGAGGTTCTTGTCACAAAATAGTGAGTTATGAAGCCCTTCTTATTGAAGTCAATTGACCAGATGAAATACTGTAGTTCCTTTTTGTTTTTAGAATATAGTGTTGTGGGAACAATGTGAGGTGATGGGTGTACTAACTAACTTTATTATGGTAATCATTTTGCTATATATGTGCATATCAATTCACCACACTGTAGACCTTAAACCTTCACAATGTTACATGTTAATTATACCTCAATAAACCTGGAAAAATATAAAAGAACTATAACGTTGAACCATATTGTTCACTCACTGATTCCTGAGTTTGAAAAAATTCATTTAGGATGTTGTCATCTGAAGACCACGTGAGAGATGCTGCTTATACAGTCAATGTCACCATCATCATTCCTGTCTGGAGTACCACTAACCATTCTCTTTGCAGTCATCCTCTGATTCATCTAATTGGAGCATCTTCCCAGGCCAACTTTCTTTTCTTTGACATTATAGATGGAAAATGGAAAAATGCTGAATTTTCCATTGTGTTTACTAAAGACTTAGAACAGGAAGACTACAAAGACAGTGTCTCCAGACTTTTTAAACATTCATGAAAAATGATACAGAATTAATGGACTATGCAATAAGGAAACTGAAGATGATATAATGATGGCTTATTTCACTACTGCATCATCATTCTAGGCACTTCCATTATTTTCTCTTGGCTTATTCTTTTTAGTCTTTATTTGGCACAGCTGGAAATAAATAATGAATGAATTCTCAAGACCAGAAAATGGCAAAATACTTAATATGGGAAAATTAAGGTCACTAAGGTTCTGTAACACATCTTTGATTTGGCACATATAGTAATAGCAAGATAACTGTTCTTTCCCTATTAAAAACACATTGATTAAAATGTTAAAAGAAGAGTTAAAGGCATGCAATATAATCCTTCCTACTAGTTAGAAATAGTAAAAAAAAAAAAAGTTTCAAAAACTAACACCAGATGCAAAGAACCCTGCTTGACAGTATATCAAGGGTTAATGCAGTTCCTGACAATTTAATAAAATTCATGTAAAACTACTTTATAACATTAAAATTATAAACTGAATCTTCCTTTTATTAACTGAAAATTATTTAGAAGCATGCAAATCTTTTAAATTTTATAAAGTTGACATTTTACTGCTCTAGCCAGCATATGGTAAAAAAAAATTATTGTTAGATTTAAAAAAATAAACTAAACTATTAAAGTAGTCCATGGAATCTTGACCATATGCACAAATCTGGGGAAAGATTCAAGTTTCAACACATAGGTTAGTTTAGTTAAATATCTATCTAGTAAAATGTGTGAATTCAGAGTGTAGTTTTTTTTAAAGCTACA